TTGTTGCCTGGACTAGAGTGAGTGCCGTGGCGTCAGCCTAGCTCACAGCAACCTCACACTCCTGGGCTCAAGCGATCCTCCTGCCTCAGCCTTCTGAGTAGCTGGGACTACAGGCGTGAGCGACCACGCCTGGCTAATTTTTTGTTTCTATTTTTAGTTGACTGGCTAATTTTTTTTCTATTTTTAGTAGAGACAGGGTCTCGCTCTTGCTCACACTGATCTTGAACTCCTGACCTCAAGCAGTCCTTGCGCCTCGGCCTCCCAGAGTGCTAGGATTACAGGCATGAGCCACCGTGCCTGGTCAAATGAGGTGTCTTTAAACAGAAGCACATATAAGGCAAGGTTATGTATTGATCAGTTGATGAAAATGTGATCAGAGGCTCACAGGAACCTAACCCTGTATTTCCCATAGGAGCTCAGTATTTGCTAATTCAGCGTCGCGGTGACTTTATAGAACATGACTACTGTGAATAATGAGAATTAACTGTGTCTCTTTAAGAGTGCAGTTCTAAAGGAGAATATTCAGAGTGATATTTGAAGAATTTCATTGCTAATAGATAATGCCTCTAACTGTCCTTGCATTGTCTGGATTCTCATGCCGCTCCTTCCCTCTCCCCAGGAGGATTCTCAGAATGCTGTCCCTTCCTTAAGGTCCCTTCTCCTAGACCAAGTCTTTCCTTTCACCACTAACTGACAGTAATTTTTATCTTTCTCTTTTCCTGGAGAGGTTTGCTGTTAATGCAATGCTGCACTGGCACAAGACCCTCTCTTACTTTCGTTTTGTTTCATCCTACTTCATGTATATTAGTCTTAGGATTCTCAAGAGCCTGTAAGCTGCTTGAGCGGAATGCAGTGGTGTTTATGTTCATTGAGAATATTTTCTGTTTTCTCTTTCTTTCTCTCTTCTGATTGTTTTCCTTCTGTCTGTAAACATGCTCTAATTTCCCCAATACTAAAATTTTCTCTCTTCCATCGTCCTTCTATCCTTGCTCTCTTTATTTTTACTGCCAGATTTGTCAAAGAATAGTCCACCTTTGAGTCCATTTCCTCATTTTCTACTCCTCTTTAACTCAGTCATATAATATGACTTTATGCATAATAAATGTGTAGCCATTTATTAAAATGTGGAAATAGGTACTGTTAAAATTAGTAGATGCTGGTTTAATTGAGTTTACCTCAGAGTTAGAGTATCTTGATTTGAATCTCAGTTCTCCTACTCCTTCAGTACATACTTGGTAAGGCCACTTGAGCTCCTGGTCTCCTCTTCAGAGGAAATTACTATTTATCTACAAGGCTGTTATAATTACTGAGTTAAACAAATGTTTAATATATTTGTTAAATTTTGAATATTGATGTTATAATGTGTATTTAAGCAAATCTATAACTTACCTAAATGCATAATTTCTCCTTAATCTGTTCAAAGCTTTCTCTTAAATGAGAGATTTGAAATTCATGGTTTCTAAGGTCCTTGTAAATTCTGAGTCTGAATTTATGCTCTTTTCATTTTTTAAAGGAAAAATCGAAGCTGCAGAAATTGTCCAGTCTCTCCAGATACTGGGTCTAACTATTTCTGAAAAACAAGCAGAGTTGATTCTTCAAAGGTAAGCTCTTCATCTTATTGACAATTGTTTTTGACTTTCATTTAATATCCTACAGTAGAGATCCGCATTTGTTAAGTGTGGCTTTAAAACGCCTTCCAGCATGTCACCGTTCTTCAAGTACATCTTCCCTTCTTCTTCCTTCCATTCCATGTGTGCACATGTATCTGAAGTGTAGGAATGGGGGATGCGTGTCAGACTGGACTCTTTCTAGCAAAGCCTCAAGGGCCATTGGAATGACGGTAAAGTTTTAAATCTATAGATAAGAGTTTTCACCTTGCTTTTTTCCCCCATTTGGGTTCTGGAGTGACAGCAGATACATCAAGTTATTTAACCTACATGTGACTGGATAAGAGGGAAATTCCCAAGCTTTCCTGGTTAACAACGAAATACCTATTTAAACTTTCAGAAAACAGAATGCCAATTCGAACCTTATTGTCCAGGGCAATTATTTCAATTACTTAGTAAGCCAGATGTTTACAGACTTAATGCTTTATTTCACAGGACAGAGCAGCAACCTCTGTAGTCCAGGTGTTCTTCAAATATTCTTCTGCTGTAAACACAATACAAGGACCAATTTTTTTAGGATAACAGAAAACAGGAAAGGATGGTTACATTTTATTTTCTTTTGAATGTATTCAATCTTCACATTATCTAACAAGTTTCTTTTAAATGGCTTTATTGTTGAATTTATCTTCTTTTGTATCTGCAGCAGTAGCATTTTCATCCTTTCTATCTGTTCAGAATTTCTTTTATAAACAGCTGCTTATCAGGAAGGCCCAAAGTCTGAAGGCTTAGCACAGACAGAGTTATTTTTGTTAGCTCTGGGTGAGAAGGGCTTTCCTGAGGAAATGAAAATCTAAAACATGAAAAGGAGATAAACAGAATTTTGACAGCGAGATAGGCATCATTTAATATCCTGCTTATAAAGTCACATTCTTCCAGGAAAGCAAGAGTTTTTTCCTGGTTCTTAAGCCAGAAATCATATTCCTGTGTTTCCTACGATAGCTTTAGGAATAACGTAGATTCCAAGCCCAAGCTTCAGAATAGACTAAGATGAATTAGTTAGCTCTGCTGCCATAACAAAATGCCGTAGGCTGTACCTTAAACAACAGAAATTTACTTTCTCACACTTGTGGAGGCTGGAATTTCGAGATCAGAGTGCTAGTATGGTCAGGTCTGGTAAGGGCTCTCTTTCTTGCTTGCCTTCTCACTGTTATCTGCACATAGGGGAGGGAGGGAGGGAGAGAGACAGAGATAGATAGATAGATATCTTGCTTCCTCTTCTTACAAGGCCATAGTCCTATTGGATCAGGGCTCCACCCTTATAAACCTCATTTAACCTAATTACCTCCTAAGGACCCTGTCTCCAGATATAGTCACTTTGGGTGGGGCCCAATTCAGTCCATAGCAAAGGGTAATACAAAGGGATCATATTTAAAAGTAGCTATGCAATTATTTATATAAATATCTTATGACAGCTTTATTGAGATATAATTCACATGCCATAAAATTCACTCTTCTAAAGTATACAACTCAATGATTTTTAAAAATATATATTTATTTTTAAATTTACAGATAGAATATTATGTATTTATCATGTACATCATGATGTTTTGAAGCATCTGTACATTGTGGAATGAGTAAATCTAGCTAATGAACATATGATACCTCACATAGTTATGATTTCTGTGATGAGAACAATTTATATCCACTTTTGTAGTATTTTTCAAGAACACCATATATTGTTATTAACTATGGTTACCGTATTGTATGGGTGATCTCTTGAGCCAAAATTTTGTATTTTTCAACCATCTCCTGAACACCCTCCCACCCAAACCATTCTACTCTGCTTCCATGAGATCAGCTTTTTTAGATTCTACATATGAGTGAGATGATACAGTATTTGTCTTTCTGTGTCTGGCTTATTTCATCCATGTTATCACAAATGACAAGATTTCCTTCTTTTTTATGGCTGGATAGATTTCCATTGTGTATATATACCACATTTTCTTAATCCATTCATCTACTTGTAGACACTTAGGTTGATTCCATACCTTGGCTGTTGTGAATAATACTGCAATGAACATGGGAGTGCAGGTATCTCTTCAACATAATGATTTCATTTCCTTTGGATATATACCCAGCAGTGGAATTGCTGGATCATATGGTAGTTCTATTTTTAATTTTGTGAGAAACCTTCATACTGTTTTCCATAATGGCTATACTAATTTGATTTCCTACCAACAGTGTGCAAGTGTTCCCTTTTCTCCACATCCTCAGCAACACTTGTTATCTTTTGTCTTTTTGATAATAGCCATTCTGACAGGTGTGAGATGATATCTCATTGTGATTTTTATTTGCATTTTACTGATGATTAGTGATGTTGAGCATTTTTTTATATACCTGTTGTCCATTTGTATATCTTCCTTGGAAAAATGCCTATCTAATCCTTTGCCCATTTTTTAATCAGGTTATTTCTTTTCTTGCTATTGAGTTGTTTGAGTTCCTTATATATTTAGGATATTAACCCCTTATCAAATTTATAGTTTGCAGGTATTTTTCCCCATTCTGTAGATTGTGTCTTCACTGTGTTGATTATTTTCATTGCTGTGCAGAAGCTTTTTAGTTTGATGTAATCCCATTTGTTTATTTTGATTTGGTTGCCTGTGCTTCAGGTGTCATATACAGAAAATCACTGTCAAGTCCAATGTCATGGAGCTTTTCCCCTATGTTATCTTCTAGTAGTTTTATAGTTTTAGGTCTTTAAATCTTTAATACAATTTTATTTTATTTTTTTATATGGTATGAGATAAGGGTCTAATTTC